GTGTGTGTGTGTGTGTGTGTGTGTGTGTGTGTGTGTGCTGCAGAGTGAATGGACTCATTAGCGATAGCAGGGTAACACATGGCCTGGGGCACACACAGCACACACTCTCTCTCTGTCTGTCTCTGTCTATCTCTCTTTCATACACAGATTCACACTTCAGACTTGCATATTAATGCCTTCAGACTGTGAACACAACGAGCAACCTTAGTCAAAAGATAATCTTACATACTCTAAGACTGGTCCAGGCTTTACACAGTTGGTCTCTGTGCCAACACTAGTTGTTCACATTAATTCCAATATTCATTGATGTTTTAAACAACATTTTTCCTGCAGATTAATTAGGTGACATGTTCCACCAAGATGTTACATGAAGACATTAATGAGACATGATGTGTATAGCCCACACAGAATGGATCTGTGGAAAAACGAAATAGAATTCAACACCTCCTGAACTGAACAATACAAGGAAAGTTTTCATAGAGCATATTCTGCGCTATGTTACGACTTACTGAAGACTAAATAATAATTTTTGGAGCTGCAGAAGAACTTAATGTCATGTCACATACATAAGATTTTAAAGACTCAACCTGTTTGCTTAAATGAAATGCTTGTTTCTGTGACCACAAATGTATCGGATTTTACCAACAAGTTTTGAGTGAAGCCTTTTTATCAATTACCTATGAACATGTGATCGTCCCCGCAGTGGTGTTTAGAGTCAGAAGAAACTAATCCCATTCATGCACATTCATACGCCGACGACGAAGCAGCGAGAGTAACTTGGGGTTAAGTGTCTTGCCCAAGGACACATCGGACATGTAGCTGTAGGAGCTGGAGATCAAACCCCTGATCTTCCGGTTGAGAAACAACCGAATCTACCAACTGAGCCACAGCCGGCAAATACAAACTCAAACAACTAAAATACCTTCAAAATATTTGCTCTAATGAAAATAGCCAATGTTCACAGTAGTATATTGTTTATATAGAGGAACTAAATGTTGTGACTAGTGCTAATCAACGCCCTTTCACCATTCATTCTACAAACGCTGCTCACTCACTACAGCGGAAATGTTGCCTCCAGTGAATCCTCACATCAAAAGACCTCTTCAAAGGCAACAGTGACTTGAAGAGTTAATAGCAGACGAAGGGCAATGCTGACGTTTTCTATTGAGGTCCAGAAGCTTTTCCTTGTAAATGTAATCAAGCATCTCTCTTGGGGTAGATTCATGATCAGGAAAGGCAAGGAGCGGCTCTGACCTCCAGAACCAAATCCTCTGAATCCATGCCCTGTAGTGTTTTCTCCAGTTTCTCACACTGCAAATTTATTATTTGACACATCTTCTTTACAGAACAGATAACGATTTAGGTGATGAACATCCATTCCAGTTTAGAAAATGTGTAATTCAAGCTGCTAAGGGCTGTGTCCACGAGGGGGATAAAAAAAACTTAAAATGCTCTTGTGGAGTGTATCGAGTTTCTTCTCTTCTCTCCCCATACAGCCGGGTTGTTTTCTGTTGTCTTTTCTCTGAACATGTCCTGTCAATGTCTAGGTTTTCTGATATCTTTCTAGCATCAGTTTGAGAGGCAATAAGTCAATATTTTCAATTTTCCAGATATTTTCTGACTGTGTTTGTTTCTCTTTCAAGTGTTTCGATGGAAACACAGGGGCTCTGCAGAATCATGCAGACATGGTAAATCTGATAAAATATTGTTGTTCAGGTTACAGTGCACAAGACAAAATTCCATGACACAAGTTCAACCTTTATGCTGGTTGCTATGGACATTGTCTCAGAGTCCGTCTTCTGCACTGAGAGGGATTGGAGAGCAGCCACTGCTTGATCTCTGGCAGGTGGTACCACTACGCACCATCAATCTTGGCCTCCCATCTGGTCACTGACAGACATTTAACTTTGAACTGCTTAACATGTTCCTGTTAACTACCTAGCATTGCACAGAGGAGTTAAAAAGATTGTACAACCTACAGCAAACCCTGAAAAAAGGAAAATGAGATGACTTCAGATTTGGCTGCATCTGCTTCAAAAGAGTAAAAGTACAGGTAAGACTGCTGCATGGGACACACCGTGCCTTCTCATTCAGTTGCAATGTTCTTGCTTGAACCCACTCTATGTCCCATCATGTTGCGACCTTCATCATACGGCAGTCTGAAATGCTCATGTTGAACTTATCCAACTTTCCCAGATGTGGGTCACAAAAACCTTTTCCATTGTGTCATGAACTTTAACAAATCCTCCAAAATGTTCCGTCATTAGATCCACCAACTGATCGCACAAGGTTTACAGTTACTCTCAAGACTGTAGGATGCAGTTCAGTGTGGCTGATGTCCAGAGCACACACTCTTTTATGATGGAATGTGCTTTGTAATTTTCATCTTTCTGATTCTCTTCAAGCATTTTGTCTCCATTTAGTGCCATGATTTGTTTTGAATGTGGCTGCCGAGGTAATGCCCCGCTTGTTTCTTTGTTTTGAATCCTTCTGAAGGTTCATTAAAAACTTGATCAAATTCTTCCTGCAGTTCCACCTGTGATAGGAATGTGGGTCATCAAAGAAATTTGTACATCTTCTAAAAGCCTGGTTCCTTTCAACTGGGTGTCATATTGTGGCAATCGCCCTTTGCTGCAACTCAATGTGCATCAAATCTTGGTTGACCTGGTCAATGGCTCTTTTAGCTTAAAGCCATCTGTTACCTTTTTCAGCTTCGTCCTCTTTAACCGTAGTACAGGACAACTGCCTGGCTCGTTTAGGGCCGGTAACAAGCAGTCCGTTTATTGGGCACACAAAGCATAAGGAGAGACGATGTACCGGGTCACTTTATTCACAGACACCTGTACCTGCACACACACTCGTACCGTTGCGGGAGACTCACTTAACTTGTTATTGCCTACTGTACATTTCCCATCAGCCACCTACTTAAAGGGACAGGCTCAGACCGGTAACAAATCTCTGGAGTTCATACCAACCCCTTATAGTGGTAATGTGTGTCTTTGAACACTCATGTTTCTTTAAATGACTGGCTAAGTTCTTTCAGTTACTATATACCCCTTTGGTAAGAGCGGTTTTGTAGTTTTCCTTTATGAATCAACATGGAATTTTCTCAGTATTCTGCAGCAATACTTTCACATGTATAAGTCCTTTTGATTCGACTGCACACTGCTCATTATGGCCTAGAACATTTGACGATTGTGCAGGGTCGTCTGATCCGATAAAACCTTTTGTAATGGTGGTGATGTACTGCTTCCAGTGCTTCTAGAGATAAGGAGTGACTGGTCATCTTGATGTGGCTGTGACTCCTTTGATAAAGTCAGTCGTCTCTTAACCATAAAGTCAGGGGTTCGATCCCCAGCCCGCTGCAGCCACAAGTCAATGTGTGCTTCCCCAAGACACACCCGCTGCTTCCTCTGTGGTGTATTAATGTGTACACCGCAGGTTAAACCTACCAATTCACACCCATTCACACACTGATGGCAGAGGCTGTTATGTCCATCAGTATGACTAATCCCATTCATGCGCCGCTGACACAGCAGCAGGAACAACTTGGTGTTAAGTGTCTTACCCAAGGAAGCCTTAGACATGTAGCTGCAGGAACTGGGACGAACTCCTGACCTTCCAGTTGAGAGACTACCGACTCTACCACTGAACCACAGCTGGTGAACATGCCCACATATAGTAACATAGACTGTCCCATGTCCATTATGCTCACAGTTCAGACTAAAAACATGGTTTTTCCGGTCTATAAAAATAACTTACTAATTTTAACAGCAGTAAACATACAACCCAAATCACTATAAGACTATACCAGATACTGTTTGTGTGTCCAGATATTTTAATTATAAATAAATAATATCTGATGCTGCGGGTTACTTGAGTGGATGTAAATCCAATATGAGCACCAGCATCTTTCAGTGACATGTCCTGTGTGTGTTTATGACGGTGTGCTTGTCTACATCTAATTCTTTCGATGAAAAAGGGCTCAAAATGTGCAGCTTTAATAGCAACACACCTGCCCTCAGGCACGCTTGGCTTTCAAAGGGAATGAAAGATGACACTTTGATTAGTTTAATTGATGTTGTGCCAAAAATACACCTATGTGTATTCAAGAGACTTGATTCAACTCCTGCGCCTCACATAGCAACAATATTGCGAGCCTTTAAACTATCAAAAAGTGAGTTAGACAGGCCTTGATTGACCCTGGACCATGCGCTATAGACTGTGCACTTTACAGCCTTTAGATAGGGCAAAATTATTGACTGTAGAAATGTTTCCTGGCGTCACTGCATCATCTAATGGAGGTTACTGCCCTCTGTAGACTATTTTTTTCTTCTGATAAACCAGTCTAAGGGCGCACTCACATTAGGGAAAGTTCTCCAGAACCGTGCTTAAGCATGATTGTCCCCCCTCCCCATTCCCCCTCTGGCCTGCACTCACACTGCTCCAGGATAAACGGGTCAGAGTAGGGTCACCTTCTTGTATATAATGTCGTTAGACAACACAGGCATGGCCTTACATGATCATGAAGGGTTCTTATTTTACAAGACAGACGGAATCAAAAATAAAAGATAAAAAAAATAAAAAGAGACACACGATCGAGTCCGTGTCTGCACATCAGAGAACAACACAGACGACATGACAGCTACTTTACCGACTTTGTTACAAGGAAGAGTCAGCTCACTCACACTATTCAAACAAACTGGACTTTAGAGGTGAAGCGTGATTGGCCACTGTACGGAGTGCATAGTGTGAAAGCGCAGTTCCATAGTGTCAAAGTATTTCTGTCGTCAGGATAATCACCTTTCTTACAATGCTTCACCTTATACGCTCCGCACGCCAGCACGCAATAGAAGCTGCCCTCCATGCTACACTTTGTATACACAGGTACAAAAAAAAATCTAAAAGCAGGTAAATACAGAATGATATGATCTTTGAGCCCTTGTGGAGTACAAAATAGAGAAAAGAATCCCCAGTGATTAAGCTGGGTAATGTCTTACCTTTGGGCAGTGCCTCTGGCTTTGGGTTTGTCAGACACCTGTCAACAGACATGCACACAAACTGTTAGTCATGTTTATATATTTAGATAACAATTTGAGTGAGGTTTAACTGACATAATTAAAGGATTCAGAAATTTGCACTTTTGCTTTCAAAAAGTCTCAGACCAAAACTGAAATGCAAATAATTTGTTTGAAAAGCGAGAGTGTGCATGGTAAACATGGCGATGAGATCAGTGTGATTTCTGACTGATGTGTCCAAGACAGTGAAGATGAATGATGAAACAAAGATCTGTTCTTATTGATCCTCTTGATAGTTTCATTAAAGGTATGACTGATACTAAAGGTATGAGGAGCTGGGGATTGAACCCCGACCTTCAGGGTTGAGAGGCGGCCGACTCTGCCAACTAAGCCACAGCCAGGGTGTCTTTTAGTGTGCAAGAGAGACTTTAAGACGCTGAAGACTGCTGGTTTGAAATCCTGAATTTCTGATGTAACTCTTGCACAGAGGTTGCACTGCTGAAAATCTCCTGGATTTTCACTTGTGCAAAACAAGTAGAATATACATCCGAAATTTTAGCATCTTTTTATTTGCTGCCAGGATTTAGTCCATTGAAGACTCCATTCTTCCAATGATATTTGCATGTGTACGAAAATCATCTAGGTCTTAAGGGAAAATGCATATCTTCGATAAATTAGAGCCAAATACTGTGCAGTAACTCATCCCGAGGTTTTGTCAGAATGGTAGAGTATAGTAACGTGTACACTTTGGAAATCCAACCCCACACTCGCACCTTACTCTGAAGTTGAAGGCGAGGGCTTCTCTTTCCCCTGCACACTCTTGTTTGCTGTGCATTACTTGTATTTTCCCTTACTATCCTCTCCAGTCTGTCGCTGTTTTTACATGGATTAGTGTCCTATGCGCTTTGTTTTTTTTTTTCCATTGTGCTGCTCTGTTTCAGTAGACCCCCCATTATTTTCTTTTAACATTTTCTGAGTTGAAGAAACAAAAATAAGGCATCAAAATGATCCATCCAACAACGATACAGGTAAAATATAAGTAGTAAACAAACGAGATAAACGAGACAATAAGTCAATCAGAATAAAACATACGCAACAACACACACAAATACACTCACATCTGAATTCAGACAATATCAACGTCTACTCAGGGATTTCTCAGAGGTTTAGCTCTTGTACAAACATAAGAAACGGACCCACACCTTGCAAAATCTTCTTAGGGAGCTATTCATAGTACATCTGATTCTTTCTCGTATGGCCATATGAAGGCATTCTTTTATCCATAATGCGTGTGAGGGGGTGTTGAGGATTTCCACTTAAATAATATAAGGCTTCTGGCAAGGAGGGTAACAAAGGCTGTAAAGACTGCTTCTAGGAAGCAAAGTGATACTGTGGATGGAGATACACCAAAAAGTGCGGGTCCGATGTGTGGTTAATGGATGGAGACGGTTCACTTTCTCAGCAGCACTTTACTGTCAGCCACAATGATTCCGCTACACAACAACAAAAACACTTCCTTGTTGCTCATCACATGTCCCACCGCTAGCCAATCAGAGGCTAGGATGATTAAACTCAAGGCAAGCATTATGACAACCACAGAGGTAGATTCAGTGCAATGTGGTCACAGTTACTAGGTGCTACTGAAAATATTAAAACATGTAAATATCAATATTAACTTTGTAAACTCAAATATGTTAAGTTCACTGTACTGTATAAATGTCATTAACTTATTTTTAACTTTGACCTAAATACATGATTTAACTAAAATATAGGAATTTACTTGACTTTTAAATCTTATATGAGCATGACTTACCGTCTATAGCCTTTGACATATCAGAAAACATCTCAGAAAACCTTCATTCACACACGACCCATGTGTGAATGTGGATATCTGGGATTTCCTCAATTGCATTTGCAAGGGATGCAAAGCAGTTTTTAAAGATTTTTTTGCAAGCTGAAACTTTATTTTCATATTGTTAAACTAAACTTCTTTCTCTGACAAAGATGACCTCATCAGAAGCTAGCAGAGAGAAAAAAGAGGACATGCATGGAGTTGGAGACAAAGATGGAAGTCAGTTTCTGAACTGATTTTGAAAATCTCCTTTGTTCACACTATCTGTATTCCCCTCCTTTACCCCTCTCTTCTCTTCATCCATCTTCTGCTATGTCTTTGAATCCCTTCCTCTACTCAGTCTCTTTACTCTGTGTAAAAAAACATATTCATGTTACTCCTTCGCCAAGAGCTGAAAGAATATTAATGACACTGTGTGTCTGTGTGTGAGAAAGACTTCCTCGTGTGTTAATGCATGTGTATACTGGCACAAACACTTGTGAGTATAAATCAACATGTGTATATGTTTGATACATTCTAGTCAGTTTATTTGAATTGGTGTGTGTGTGTGTGTGTGTGTGTGTGTGTGTGTGTGTGTGTGTGTGTGTGTGTGTGTGTGTGTGTGTGTGTGTGTTTTACTTCAGGCTGTAAAAGCCTTGTAATACACCATGCACTCATTTGCTTTAATCCTGTTAACAGCATGCACAAAATACCATTGAATTCTTCTCAGCCTCTCTCTCTCCCCTGCTCTCATTCTATGTCTCTGTTTCTCTCTCAGTTTCCATTCTTTCATTCCTTATCTTTGCTTTCTGTCTGCATTGTTTGAAGTCTGTCTCTCTTTCTGTACCACTAGTTTATTCACTTTTCTCTATCGTTCACATAAAGAGATGGTCTGTGGACATTTAAATGATGCCTTAGATTGAATGGACTTCAGTTCCCACAGAAGACATTGTGAAATACAAAAATGGTATTATTCAAGTTGTGACCCTGGTTCCTCCTGTTGATAAGTTAATGCTAACGCCCTTTCTGAATATAGGAATAAAAAGTTTCCATCAGGTTTAACTAATCCCATTTGTAGCAGCAGGAGCAACTTGGGTTGTCTTGGCCAAGGACACATTGGACATGTTGCTTCAGGAGCTAGGGATAAACCCCCAACCTTCAGATTGAGAGACGACCGACTCTATCACTGAGCCACAGCTGCTCCATGCTAAATGACAAGGCAAGGCAATTCTATTTATATAGCACATTTCAACAACAAGGCAATTCAAAGTGCTTCACACAAGACATCAAAAGCATCATGACAGCCTATTGTTACTTGATACCAAAGGATGTAAGTAGCCTACAGTAGCATGAAGTAGATTAACATGAGAAGTCAACTACAAGATTTAAAGACTTGCGTTACGTTACTTTTTCAACTCTTCAACAAAACCTACTTGATTCAGAGACAAAGTGACGACATTCTCAAGCATGTGGAATCAGTTAAATGCTTTTTACCATCTGCAAAAACAATTTTCTGTCACCTGTAAATGAGGCCAAAAGTACACCTGAAGCATGTATAAATGTGTAACAATCTCACATTACACAGCAAGACAATGAGAGAGCAAAGCTGCAAAAAGTACCGTTTCAAAATGTCACATGTTGGATCAAGTTAATCACTGCTTGTTTATAACCTCTCCAGTTACCTGACTGTTCATGTTTGCTGGACTTCACACATCTGACTAACATACTTTATACACCAGAGTGATGATGACGCATCTGTAAGGTGACGCATATCTGAGCAGAGAAGGATGGGATGAATGAACAATGGAAACATGAACACAAATCATTTCACTTGACTGTCTTTAAGGAGGATTAAAGCCATAATGATGCAACAAGAAACAAAAAAATAGCAAAAATGAAGAAAATCCCTTCATATTCTAAAGAAAAAAAAAGATTTAGAGAGAAAGTAGAAAGATAGTAAGAATAAATCATGTGTTCATATAACTTAAGCCTGGCTTAGACTGCAGGATATTCAGGCCCATTTTCCTCCTTCCCAACAATCATGGGGTCTTTCCTGACTCGGAAACGATTATATGCCCAGATTTTCTTGTAGTGTGAGTCATATAAAGATCCAACCTTAACGTCCCTGGTCTTTTCAGAGATCATGTGGGACACCTGGATTTATTTCAAACATGTTTGTTATTTAGAAGTTAAAATCTCACCATCAATAAAGTGCCTGGCGGAAGTCAAATGCAACTACAAAAACGGCGACAGACGAGGGAGGTCAGTAATAAGTGGACAGGAGTGGCATCAGGTGAGCTGAGCTGTAATGCATCTGACAGTTACAATCTTACCTCCAGCTGTCACTGAAGAACAGACAACCCATGTTGTCCTCTCAAACCATTATGATCACAAATGTATCTGCCTCCATTGTTTACATGAGGTGACGTGAGGTGGTGCGTTCCTCCGCCGGGAAATATAATCTTAGTATAATCCTGTAGCATGTGATGTGTCATGATTTTCATATATTGTAGTGTGTGCATGCTTGAGATAATAGAGAAGATTCTCTGTTATGATTCTCTTTTTGTGTGTGATTCTATACCGGATTTCAAAATCGGGAAGGATTTTAAAACTCCTCCAGTGTGAGCCAGGCTTAAGAGTAATATCCGTGATTAAGGGGGCCAATAGAGACCATTCTTAATGCACATTAACGATCTGTTATTACCAGATCTACTTTCAGCATAATTATAATGAATTAAAGCACTTAAATGTCCTGCCATCATTTGTGATTATTGTATCTATCACCATGGTAATTATGCCATCAGAAGGCCAGTCGAAAAGGGGGTTGAGAGGAATTGGTATCTTTTTATTAACAGAAAATATCTCATGTCCTCTTTGATGAGTGTTGAAATTAATCCGCACAGCAGGTTCCGGGGCAGCAGCCAGGCCCTTACCGACTGTTTTGAACTCTTATCTGGCATCATTAGTGTCAGACCCAACTGGCTGGAGACTCTGGTGCCAATTTTATACCAAAAAACTCATAAATAAGCAGGACAACTGCTTCTGTAGTTATGAAGCCTCATATACCACTTCAGTAACTATGGGGTACTTGCTTTTACAGTAACTATGCGAACGCATGACATCAGATCCTGCGGTGGTTTGGGATGTTGGTTGTGCACGTTCTCATAAATGAACACTCAGTGAGATACAATATGCATATATCCGTTAGGAGCAGTGTACAGTTGTATGGGGATGAGTCCGGAAATGGCAACATTGGAGACACCTGAGAACAGCTACAACAATGGCGTAAAGTTTTGAAGAAAAGTTAACAGCTCGAGTCAGCAACTACATGCAATATGATGTGTCCTTGTAGTTGCATAGCAACAAACATGCGTGCCAAAATAGCTGGCAACACATCATTTCTACTCCGGGGTTAACATCTGATTCATGTGGTGCTCCCTCTAGAGGAATCCTCCAGTAACACGCGTTGTACTGAATGCATTTACAGCCGGATATTTAGAATCAGAATCAGCTTTATTGGCCAGGTATGCTTGCATACACAAAGAATTTAACTTCTGTGAACTGTGCTCTCTTTGTACAAAGGTATAACATTGAATATCAACAATAAACACAAAATAAGCAAAGATTAATATGTACAAGACTAAATAAGAAAGTGAATGATGCTCTGTCTGCTCCTGTAGATAATTTAAATGCATCAATATTAAAGTAGCCTTGCTATAACAAATTGCAAACTATAATTTCAGTTAATAAGACACCTTATGAGACGTATAGATTTAAGTGGAAAGAGATGAGTGTTGACACCTTAAGACAGGCTTTCTCAACCTTGGGGTCAGACCCCAGATGCGGTTACATGGATTTTAAATGGGGTAGCCTGAAATTTGTATTCATTGATCAATAAAAATTATATCCATCCATCCATTATCTATACCACTTTTCCAGTTCGGGGTCGCTGGGGGCTGAGGCCAATCCCAGCTGTTATTGGGTGAGAGGCGGGTTACACCCTGGACTGTCTGCCAGTCAATCCCAGGACTGACATTTAGAGACAGACAACCAGCCACACTCACATTCACACCTACGGGGAATTGAGAGTCAATCAACCTAACGAGCATGTCTTTGGACTGTGGGAGGAAGCCTGAGTACCTGGAGAGAACCCACACAAGTAAGGGGGAGAACATGAACACTCCTGAGCGAGGCCCTCAGTGTGGATTCGTGCAGCCCCTTAAAATGATATTATATATTAAAATATATTGAACACAGGCTACTGTTGGCCATAGCCAAATGCCAAAACAAGGAAGAGTCTCTGTCTGTCTGTCTGTCATCCTTTGTGCAGAATGTCACTCCAGCCTTTCTTCCTTTGTCCAAAATAATACAAACAGAAAAGCCTAAATGTGCTTTTCTACACAGTAGAAAAAAAATAATTTCAGCAAATAGATTAGAGTGTTTTGGATGTCTGGCATCACCAGAGTTTTGTGGAGTAGAGTCGGGTCACCAGCCAAAAAAGGTTGTGAACCACTGGCTTTAAAGAAAGGGTTGATAAAAGCTTCATAAAGGTGGCTGGGTGCTTGGATAGAGTGATGAAACTGTTAATAAATGAGGTGATGCTGTCAGAAACATGGGTTAACCACATGTCCGAATCAGTAATTGTCATATATACAGAAATGAACTTAATGAACTGCATATGAACACATAGATGTAATGAGGTACAAATGATGACTGGAGAAGAAGCTCACCTTTTGTTCGGCCTCCTCCTCATCACTGCTGATCTTCAGGTCGTCCTCCAACATTCTGCACGGAGACAAAGGGACATGTTATTGCAGACATAATTCCTGTCTGCTTGTATTACATGAAGGTCTGATATGCCAAGTAATGATCTGCAGTACTCTTTGATCAGCCTTTCAGACACACAGATTTTTAAACACGGCACAACATGGCTCAAATTCATGCATGGGTGGAACACTCTGCTGCCGAAAAGCTACCAGATGTTTAGTTTTTAGAGCTTGGAGAGGAAACCCAGATTGTTTTTACATCTGGAAACTTTCTGTCTGACAGCTGAACTGCTGTCTCATGCTGCCAAGAATTCCTTGAAAACAAAGGGGTCTTGCTCGGCTTGGATCAGCCTCTCAGTCAGGAACATACACTGATTTTTTTTTACAGAGGCTTCTAACCTCTGATTTCATTAATGCATGTATTTATTTTACACTGTGCATGCAAAAGATGAAATGCTAAAAAGATACATACGATTGAAAGGATGCACAAGACACACAGTCGATAACATGACCTTCCTCAGAGCATCAACTGCTCATTACCGCACACGTTATTCTGTATTGATGTGCTTTGCAATGGCGCCTTGCCATGTTTAATTTCTTTATATAAACTCTCAACATGAACTCGTGTTATTTTAAGCTGGTACCGCTATTGTTATTGTGACAGGAGAATCCTCTTAAGGATTCTATTTTACTGCCTCACAAACCACGCTTGTCATTGCGTGCACCATTAAAAAAAAAAAAAGATTCCCTCGTGTTGTCGTGTTTTCAGCTGGGACCCTGCAAGTTGAGAATAACAGAAGCAAAGTACATAAAAAAAAATCTTACAGATAAAGGGCATAGCAGAGCACACTGCGATGATAGATGTGTCTGAATTCATGAATAATG